CCCGCCCCCCCCCCCCACTGGGATCTAACCCACAACCTGGGCATGTGCCAGACTGGAATCCAACCGTGACCTCCTGGTTCATGGGTCCACACCGGCCAGGCCGATCATAATTTTTTGACCTGCAAGAAAGCATAGGATTTAGCCAGGACCCCTGGGTCCTAGTCTGGTCCAGCTCTGATCGCCCACCCAAACCGCCACAGCTTTGCCCCCGACTAGCCTTGGGACCCTTGCACAGAGGTTAGAGCAGGGGTCTCTGTTTACTTCCCTGAAGCCCTACCAGAACCAATGGGAAGATCCACAATAACTGACACTTGTATAGGGCTTAAGTGGTTTCAAAATGCACAGTTAATTATTTTCCATCGCAATCTTGTGAAGAAAGTAAGGGTATCTCCATTTTATAGGTAAGAAAAGTGAGACTCAGAGTCCAGGTGCAGCTAAGGCTCTGAGGGCCTCATTGGAATCCAGGTCTATGTGGCTGAGAAACACTCCTTTTGTTGATTCCTGGGATACTTGCAGTGTTCTGAAGCCTGTTGACTCCCTGTGAGACCGAGAACAAAAAGTGAAATTCAAATTAACTTGCAACTTGCACTCTAATCAGCCTAGCCTAGAGAAGGAAACTTGAATGTATCAAATAAGACAAAGGAAATTGTTCCATGTACACATGCAGATTTTCCTTCCCAACTTACCTTTTTTTAAAAAAAATTTTTTTTTATTGATTTCAGAGAGGAAGGGAGAGGGAGAGAGAGATGGAAACATCAATGATGAGAGAAAATCATTGATTGGCTGCCTCCTGCATGCCCCCTACTGGGGATCGATCCCACAACCCTGGCATGTGCCCTTGACTGGAATTGAACCTGGGACCTTTTAGTCCACAGGCTGATGCTCTATCCACTGAGCTAAACCAGCTAGGGCCCAACTTAACTTTGACCTGGGTTCCAGAAGTTCCTTTTTAGGTTAGACACGTTTTCCTGGAGAAAAATTGAGAGGTATTCCCTAGGCCTGCCCACAAACTTCTAACCCCCTGATTGAGGCCCTGATGGCCTTTGAACACCCTGTCACCCACCCACATTGGGAGGGCAGGGTGACTCTGGAGTAAGGGAAAAGGAAGTCCACCACTCATTCATTCATTCTACAAATATTTATTAAGTATCTACAGTGTTCCAGGCACTGTTCTGGAACCTGAGGATGCACTAGTGTACAAAATAAATGAGGCAATTTAATAACAAAGCTAACATTTAATAATGAAATATTTATATTCTATATAATAAAAGGCTAATATGCAAATAGACCAAATGGCCAAACAACCGGTCGCTAAGACATGCACTGACCACCAGGGGGTGCGTGCGGAACATGGCAGGCGTTGGTAGCAAGCAGCAGAGCGCGTAACATGGTGGGTGTTGGCCGCGGCGGGATGGTGGCGCAAGTGAGTGGGGGCGCTAGACCAAGGTGGGGCGCTGGTTGCTGTCATCGGGGCGAGCCTCTGGTGGTTACTGAAAATTCTTTGCTCACCCTCGATGCAGTCTCGCCTGGCGCTCACACCTGCTGCTGGCGCCAGCCCCATTTGCTCCCACTGCCAGTGCCTGGTGCCGGCCCTGATTGCTCGCCGCCATCAGAGGGTGCGAGCAGCGGCTGCTGGCCTCAATAATCCCTCAGGGCTTCTCCACCTCCCCCTGCTCCTGAGGGGCAATCACGGCTGACAGCCACCGCTTGCACCTACTCCCAGTGCCAGAGTCACTGCTCGCACCCAACTGCCAGTGCTGGCCCCACTCAAACCCACAGCTGGTGCTGGGGCCGCCGCTTGCACCTGCTGCCGGTGCCTGGCGCTGGTCCCAATCGTTTGACACTGTCAGCGGGTGTGAGCGGCCAGCTGGTGTGAGCGGTGGCTGCCAGCCCCGGTCGCCCCTGAGGGCTTTTCCATCTCCCCCTGCTCCTGGGGGGCGATTGGGGCAGCAGCTACCACTCACACCTTCTAACAGCACCAGCTCTGCTCACCCACTGCTGGCGCCAGCCCCGGGCCGTCAGTGGGTGAGAGTGAGGCTGGCACTGCAGCAGCAGGAGAGGGGCTGCCAGCAGACCCAGGACAGGGAGCCTCGGCAGGAGGGGCCAGGCAGGGGGGCAGAGGATGGGCCAAGACCTGCCCCTGTACCCACTGCAGCCTCGCAGCCCACAGTTCCCTTCAAGGTGCACGAATTTGTGCACTGGGCCCCTAGTATTAAATATATAACATTTATAATAGGGTAACACTTTGATAAATCTTACCAAGTGTCAGGCACTCTTCTGAGTGCTTTGAGTATAACTTGTTTAATCTTTTTCCTCACAATAAAAGGTTGATGTGAGGATTACATTTTACAGATGAGCAAATAGGCACAGAAATGTCAAAAAAAGCTGTGCCCTGGGCTTTCTGCACACAGAAAGTGGCAAAGCCAGGTTACCAACCCAGGCAGCATGGCTCAGAGTTCCTACTCTTAACCCTATGCTTCCACAAACATCACTTGAGTGCTATGTAAATTGTACCAAGCCTGAGGCATTCCTGGAGAGAAAGATAAGAAAGATCCAGCCCAGCCCTGGATGGTGTGGCTCAGTGGATAGAGCATCAGCCTGCGGACTGAAGAGTCCTGGGTTTGATTCTGGTCAAGGGCACATGCCAGGGTTGCAGGCTCGGGTCCCCAGTAGGAGGCATGCAGGAGGCAGCCAATCAATGATTCTCTCTCATCATTGATGTATCTATCTCTCACTCCCTCTCCCTTCCTCTCTGAAATCAATAAAAATACATTTTTTTAAAGCATGGAAAAGGTGAGAATACTATAATGGTTTCCTCTCCAAATCTGTGATCCCCTGAACGTTATCCTCTGGCCCCTAGCAGGGATTCCAGGTTAAAAACTGGCTCTAGACAATCTCACCTACATCCTGCCTACAACCTCCTGATGTGTGTCCAGCCAGGACCCTCCTGAGTGCCAGGCCTCTCTCTTGATCATCTTTGTTGGGCTGGGCTATGAGAAAACCTGCTTGACTCTGTGACTTAGTCAGATTTATTACGTAGATCCCTTTAATGATACTAAGAATCTGTTAAACAGATATTACGACCTTCACGAGAGCTGGTCCTGAAAGACTGAAGGCTTGGGCTGCTGTGCTGGCCAGAACATCTGAACTTTCCACAAACGGGTGCTGCCCCCAAAGCATCTTCTTGACAAAAGTGGGCTGTTGTTCATGGAGCATTTTGAGATCTTGCCTCCCGGCAGTGCCATCAGTTTGGCTCAAATAAATTCTTGTAAGTCTCCACAGGTGTGCAAGTTTCTTACGTCTACAATTCTGTGGCATGAGGCAACGGCGCTGGAATTTCCACTAGAAAGTTCTGTGTTGTTGGCCCCTCGGCCTGGTGTGTATGACGGGCTGGGAAGTATCCAAGCTTGACTCTGTCAACATAAGAAACGTCCAAACCTGTCGAGAATTTTTATGAGTTTATTTGAATCAAACTGATGACACATGCCAGGGAGCAAGATCCCAAACGCTCTGAAAAAATAGAGTTTTGCAGTTTCTTTCATGCACTTGAAATTAAGGAGGGA